ATCCGGGATAGATTCAAGCTGGGATGATGATAAGACCTAATTGAGGCCGAAACTAAGGTCCATTCGGAATAAGAATACCTTTTGGGAGTCAATTCTAGATTTAATTGTATAGCCAACATTGTGGGAAAATTCAACTATTAGTGCCTTATGGTCTTATGCGACTTATAGTGATTATAACTCTTATATATTTTCTCTATTAAAGGTGAATATAGTCGGCGCCTAAATACAATTGTTTTAATAAATTTATCTGAGTTAAAAAAGTGCTTAGAATGGAATTGAATGAATGTTGTGAATATACTTAAAAAAATCCTTTATTAAGAACTTATCCTAATATAAAAACAAAAATAACTATTGGATTTATCACCTGATCAAATAGCATAAAATACATCCCTGGTAGCCTCGCTAGTACTTGTTATGAAACAAAAATTTTGCAAGGTGCGCAAGGAATAGTAAGGGAGTAAAATGTGAAATAAAATAAAAACTTTGGCCTACCCCAAATTGGCCTTTGCCAATAGGCTCGCGCTCTATCTGCAATTCGACCGGGTCGAGCTCAAATTCATCCAAGCCCATCCCAGCGGTAACAGGGCTTTCGCGGTCTTTGGTTGGAGGAGATCGCAGACGTACAACTAGTCCACCAGAGTTATGCTTGTGATAGTGAATTACATCGCTGATAGTTGGAAAGGCGTGCTTCTCTGACAGGTAGTACTGTGACTGAGGCTGTTGCTGGGACTTCCCAGCGCTAGTATTTCCCCCTCCGCCTCCGTTTCCTACGGAAGCAGAAGCACCACCACCACTCGTACCACTCCCACCGACATCCCCACTACCGCTTGTACCATTAGTGATGGCCCCATTTGAAGCGGTTCCGTTGGTCAGACTTTTGGAGACGTCCGTCCGGTGGATATGATAGTGGTGAACTTTTAACTTGCCAAGACTAAAAATAAGAAGGATAGAAGATCAATTAACGGAAGAAATCAAATGGGAATGCATTTTGCAGATAGACAGCATGAAAATGCATTATCCGTATGGCCCTGGCTTGGTAAGCTAGATTAATTTAATATAGACAAATTAATTCATTATTATATACCTATATAAGTATTTGAAAAAGAGTTGCCCTAGTTAACTAAGCTTTAGTGATTATAGTAGCATAAACACAATTTAAATGGCTAATTGAAAAAAGTTAAAGTTAAAAAAATGTATATTTCTTAAGTTGAAAAGCAATGAGCGAAATTTTAATTAGCCTCTGAACATACTTTATTTGAATGGTCTTTCCTAGATGATTTAGTTAAGACAAAAACAGTACAATTTACATGAGATTGCCAGGGATAATTGCCAAGAAACAAAAGATAATAGGACCTAGATATTGCAATTAAAATTGGGCATAGCGACGACTTGAACGAAATTGTAAGCCAGAAGACAAAATGGCAGATTGCAATTATATCATATTCATATTGTTTTGAAAATTATATCGTAGTATAATTAAAACTCATAAAAATAGTAAATTTTTTTTAGTAGTTCTGAAAAAGGCAATTTATGCCTTATTATGACATGTACTTAAGGCGGAAGAAAACGATTTTGTAT